ATAGAATCTCTATCGAGGGGAGGCCATTAGGCCACCCGGGTCGGTCTCTAGAATGACCCAGGCATTTGTCGGGTTGTAGGTAAAGGAGCAGTGGAATGTCACAAGAGGGCTATGCCGACCCTATCACGAACGACGGACTCCGATTCCACTCGATCATACCCGTTAGCGAACTCACCGAGCGCGTCACTCGAGCCTGAGCGATCGGGACAACCGACAAAACTCAGCTCCTCCGGTTGTGAGGAACCGAGGACGGGGTAACGCACACAACTCACGCCGACCCCTACTAAAGCCCAACGGGGCTCGGGGGCTCAAGACACAAAACGCCTGGGTCTACAACCCCGAACTCGCCCCTTCCGGCTACGCTTCGACTGCACTCCAAAAACCACCTGGGTCTGCGACCCCGAACTCACCCCATCCGGCCACGCTTCAACTGCGCTCCAAAACTACCTGGGTCTGCGACCCCGAACTCGCCCCATCCGGCTACGCTTCGACTACAGTCCAAAAACACCCGGGTCTACGACCCCGAACTCGCCCCATCAGGATCTATGAGCTCCGACTCGCTCGATCCCAAACTAACTAAACTAACTGCCTCAGTTGCGCGGGCCGCACCAAGGCCAGGATCCACTACTCCGACTCGCCCGATCCCAAGGCGCGCACCGACGCTAGGATCCGTGAGCTCTGCCTTGTCCGATCCCTAAAACACTAACTACCTCGCCCGATCCCACGGCGCGCATCGACGCCCGGATCCACGACTCTGACTCACCCGATCCCACGGCGCGCACCGACGTTAGGATCCGTGAGCTCTGTCTTGTTCGATCCCTAAAAGACTAACTACCTCGCCCAATCCCACAGCGCGCATCGACGTCAGGATCCGCGAGCTCCGTCTCACCCGATCCCTAAAACAACTAACCGCCTTGGCTGCGCAACGACGCCTTGGTTGACAAATCCGTCTCGACTAAAAAGCACGCGCACACGCCCGCTGACAAAAAACCCCCAAACAATTCTGCCCGAATTGCCCTGGGGCTTGGGGCTACACCCGTGGGTGCGCTCGCGCGCACCCGCTGACAAAACAAAAACCTCCCCGCTGGCAACACGAAAAACACCCTAGACGGTTCTGCCTGAATCGCTCGGGGGCTACACCCGTGGGTGCGCTCGCGCGCACCCGCCGTCGAGGCAAAAATCCCCCGGACGATTCTGCCCGAATCGCCCAGGGGCTCGGGGGCACCTGTCGGGTTCATAAACCTAGGGTCCCTCGCGGACCGACTTCCCCGCAAAGGCTCGGCCCAAACAGACAGCGCGCAACTCATGAGCCGGCCCAAGAGTCTAAACAACAGGCTAGAAGGGCGATCCAATCACCGACCGGAAGGTCTGGCCGAGGAGGAGCGGCACCCATTTTCTGACTCCGACCCATGTCTCCGACCGGAGCACTCGCTCCAACTCCAGCCGCCTCCGGACAACCTCTTCAACCGGAAGGCCTGGCCAAAGCACTACTTTTGACTCTGACCCCACGTCTCCGACCGGGGTACGTAGAAGCCCTGCTCACCACTCTTCTCCGACTGGCGCAATCAGAGCCGACTGGGACCAACCGACCGAGGACGCCCGCCCGGAAAGGACCAGGGAATGAACGGAGAAAGCAAGGCAAGGCGCACAAGTCAAACCACGATACTAGGGACCATACCCTGTACACCTGCAAAATAGTACTCTGCAACCGCCTGACATGAACAGTGTTGTAGGCGTCGACTTTTTACCTACAGTATTGTAGGCGCCATCGGCTCCCATACGGTAAGCCCCCCCCCACATGTCTCTGGGCATCGACAGTGTTGTGGGGCCGGAACTTACCGTACCGAGTGAACATGGTAAAACTCCTCACATGCCTCTAGCATCAACAGTATATGCAGGTACCGACATCTGCCATACCCGAACAAAGACAACGGAACCTCCCATGTGCATCTGACATCCAACAGTGTTGTGGGCGCCTACCATCGTGTTGTACCTGCCGACGTGGGCAATAAGGTTTAGAAGCATACGTACTCTCTCCCTCTCACTTGTAAAGTCATCCCCTTCATCTATAAAAGGGGATGCGCTCTCTCCCAAGTTGATTCAAGTTCATACAAGTTATTTCAGATTCATTAGATCGACCAAGCTCACTAGCTCACAACCACGAACCGCCAGGTTCGGACCTCAAGCACACGCTTGAACACTTAGCTCATAGCGGAGTTTCTGTCACTCTCGGCCCTTCCGACCGGAGCCGACCGGACCTCTTGTACACCCCATCTTTCTCCTTCTCGTTTGTAACCCCACTGCAAACTTCGAGCACCTGGGCTCAGGAATAAAGTCACCAACCGGCTCAAACTGAACGTAGGGCACGCTGCCTGAACCAGTATAAACCCTGTGTCATTGAGTGCTAGGCCACCGCCGATCACAACGTACGGTAAAACTATAAATATTTACTAGTTGGTCATTTTCTACACCGACACTACTGTTAAGTATGTTTTCAACTTTTAATATTCAAGGTTAGATTTAATCTATTATTTTACTAAAGAAAATCTTGGTTATTTCATATCTTCTACGTTTTAGCTCCGAATTGACCCCGTTCAAGTTGTGCTAGATTCATTGCAACGAGATCTACGCGTTAGTAATAATGTTTATCATGTCCCTATTTCTAGAATTTCATGGTTTAAACTTTAATTTGAATAATAATTATGCAACTGGATTTTATAAATAAAATATGATTTGTTTTACCTTAGTTTTATAATTCAGATCTAAATTTGACTTAATTTATATTATCTATAAAATATCTTATATATGTTTTTATATAGTTAAAACACCTGAAGCTAATAGTTTTATATTTTCTTTTATAAGTAGATCTTTCGGTAGATGTATCTTTTTCACCGTAGCTCCGATTAGAGTGCTTTTCGCGTTTGTGTGTTCGTAGCAAGACGTAGATTCGTTTTACAAACTTTTCATCTTGATTTTATGATTTGTGTATTGTTCTAATTTAGATCTATTGTTTCCTTCGTGTATGATTGTATGGATGCTTGTGTGGTACTTTATGATCATGTCCAGTCGTGAGCTTTACGTGTTGATCAAGAAGCAGATCTTTGAAGTTTTGGACTTGAAGAAGGATCTAAGTTTAAGGCAAGTATAGCATGGGATCTTTCTTGTTGTCCTATACACCTTTAATCATCTAATTCATACTGCATGTGTCTACCTTAACTGCCTCTAAGGATTTTTTAGTACCTTGTTACCTTGTACCTTGATTCCTTTGGGTTATTGCGTTGGGTGGTATGATGCTAGTGCTCAACTAAAACCAACTTGACTAATGGTATATGCAATAAACACTAAAAGATGCTTTTTAGCAACATAGAAACAGAGGGCTGAAGAGTTTAGCTACTTTCTAAATGCTCTAGATTTCTCTCCCTAAGGACTTATCTGCAAGTGATCATCCGGGATTTACAATACAGCTGTGAGGGCTATATGGCTCTGGCTTTAGCTCAGTATGAGGACATTTTCTAGCTTGTTAGTGGTTACCTTTATGGCGCAAGAGGGGCTCTGGTTTGTATGATCTCGGCATGCCAAGAGGGTGCACTTTGGTTTCTTTGTATTTTGTTAGTCACTCTTTGGAGGGGGTTCATGCTTACTTATGGGGAAACCTTAGCGGACCTAACTTGTTAGACGAATCTTTGAAAGGCTTCATAGTGAACCCTGCCAATCTTTCTTGGTAGTGGGTTAAGAGGCTCGCGATCTCGGACGAAAGGGTAAATCACGACTCACAGTGAAAGTGTACAACCTCTGCAGAGTGTAAAACTGGTATATCAGCCGTGCTCACGGTCACGAGTGGCCTTGAAACATTTACGAAATAGATGATGAACACTAATGATATGGATGATGAAGATGCTCACTAATGATTAATTATTTATGCTATTCATTATTCATGTTTACCCGATCATGTGTTTATATGAGCTTGTGAATAAACTTGTTGACACCCTATTGTTAAAAGATGACTCATTAAAAGCTAATCGCAGTTAAACCAGTGTCAGTCTTTTGAGCCTCATGAACCCCATGTTATATTTGTTGAGTACGACATGTACTTATGCTTGCTTTATTTTTTAATTATTTGGATAAAAATCCCGGATGGGTACCAGATTGCTAGAGTTTGGAGGAAATATGCTTGTGATCAACCAGTCAGTTGTCCCTGTGGATTTGGAGTCTTCGCTTGAAGATCGGAGTTGTCTTTCCGCTGTCTATACTCTGAGGTTATAATCTTTATACCAATACGCTATGTATTTAAGCATTGTCTTTTGATATTACCCTTATTTGTAGCTATATGTGAGATTTGACTTCCTGGGCTCACATATGATGTGTATCTGGTTTTGTTCTTAAAACCGGACGCTACAAAGTGATATCGGAGCAATGCTGGCTATAGGACGCAAGCCTGGTTAGAAATTGGCCATCTTAAGGTTTTAAAATTACTATAAAATCATTGTTCTATAAATCTTGAAATTGCTATAAAATTCTTGTTCTATAAATGTTTTGGTAATCTTGGAAACAATAAAACATATCGTCCCATTAGCATCGGTTATAAGTAGAAAACAGAATTCACAATTTAAATAGCTAAACACTAACCCACACTCAAGGATGAAGGGGGTATAAACACCAACAGGTTCGTTCCACAAACTGAGATAAGTCAACCGGCGCAACAAGGAAAGAGTGACTGCATTTGCCGACGCGCGACCAAGGGTACGAGCCAATAAAAACATCACAAGATTTGAGTATTACTAACAAACAGCGATACAATATCCATGGAAGTATAGCAACTTGGAAAGTTAAAACATTGACCGGAAAGGTGCCATAGCCTAAAAGACTACCTCCAAAACTTTAGGTGCAGTCGGCAAAACAGAACAAATTCAAGTAACCATTCTATCCGAGATCACTAGCAGACATTGTGCACGGATGTCTCCACAATGACATATATGGCAAAAAATCTCAGCGGCACGGCATTAGTTCCGTGGCCTGGTGGACCAGGTCGACGAGGAGGACGAAGAGTTTGAGGAAAATCTTGATCCACCACGCCAGCGGTCAGTAGCCGGAGGAGGGCCATCTTGGCGGGGTGGGGGTGCATCCTGTCGCGCAGGAGGGCCATCTTGCCTGAGTGAACACTCATCAGGGCGCGAGCGCTCTCCACGTGGACCCCAGCGGTCTTCATCGCGTGGGCGCACATCTGTTGGCCTCCGGCTGCCACCAGGTGGACCCCAGCGGTCTTCATCCCGTGGGCGCACATCTGTTGGTCTCTGGCTCCCACCAGGTGGACCCCAGCGGTCTTCATCGCGTGAGCGCACATCTGTTGGCCTCTGGCTGCCACCAGAGCTGCTGCCGCTATCGCCGCTGAGTTTAAACTTAGGAACATATCTACCAGGAGCTGGAGCAGCGGCTGCCGCAGCTGCAGCAGGGGCTGCTGCTGGCTCACGAGGTGGCTGTGCAACAGGTGTAGAATCAGGAGTGTGCACAGCCTCAGATCCCTTCAAGAGCTTCTCCCTGCTCGTCTTTGCCTTCTCCTCCAACTCCATCTCTCTCAGTCGCTGCTTTTCAGCAATAGCATCAAGCTTAGCTTTCCTTTCAGCCTCCTCTCTCTTCCTCCTCTCTTCCTCTGCGGGAGAGTATAAACAATATAATCAATAATATGGATGAAACAGGATTTGAATCCTTAAGTTCCATTTGGCCAAATATGGAATGATATAGAGACTGAGCCACATTCAGTTACACAGTAGCAAATAGAGTTTATGCTATTTGTTGATTAAGTATCAAAAATCAATGCTAGGTTAGTGTTGGATCAGTTTGAACAGGGAACTCTTCATATACTGACCAAAAACTAATTTTAGTATTGCAATGGTGGAAAAACAAAACCGAACATTAGTAATTTGATTCATTATTAACGAGACATCAAAACCAATGAAATCATGTGAACAGCATTCAGACAATTATTTTTAGTATTAAAACAAAGCACACAAAACTGAAAACATTACACATTTATACCTACAAGTAAACTTTTAACTTTAGGTGAAAGAACTACAACGTTATGGTTCAATTTCAGTAGTTTCAAGAAGACCAAACTGAACTAGGGCGAAATAGCCAGTGGCCAACTTTCAAGGTAAACTAGACCACATTTTGCTCATTCTTACTTTACAATGCACCACGGCCATTTTGACTACAATTACAGGATAACACAAAAAATAATTTACTGGTCAAAGTTTTGCTTTCGAAAGGTACCCAAAAAAACCAAGCAGAAGTGTGCCAACAAGTACAATCAACGAATGATGAATATAATCGGTTCAGAATTCACTTGCCTTCACGTTTTCTAGCTTCCTCTTCCTCGCGAAGCCTTTCAATCCGCTGTTCCTCCAGGTTCAGATAATACATCAATTTCCTTACTGTCTCCCTTTCACGCTTTCTTGATGATATCAGCTGACTGATCCGTTCATCTCTCTCTTTTTTCAGACGGCCAAACTCAGCTTCACGACGTTGGACGATTTTCTCCTGGAAAGCATTCTGCAACAGCGAAACAGAAAGTCAGGAAGAGAAGGGAAGGTTATTGTCATGAACAAAGATATTGGAATATATAGTCAGCTTGACAGCTCGTTAGTTAAGAGGCACAAAAGAATCTCAAATTCGAGCATCATGTTCTATAAATCTCAATGAAAAATTACAGTGGCCAGCATTAGATCCTGAGCAATCTTATCTTGATTATAGGGTAAGGCATTCTATGTATAACAAATACTCCCTCTGTTCCAAATTATAAGTCGTTTTGGTTTTTCAAGATACATTGTTTTTGCTATGTATCTAGACAGTGTATATCTAAGCGCATAGCAAAACTAACGTATCTAGAAAAGCTAAAAAATGTCTTATAATTTGGAACGGAGGAAGTAGCAAGCAACCATAAATTCATTGCTATATGTTAACAGATTAGTCGAAGTGTATATCAAAATAACCATTTGTAATAAGAGGTGGTTTTGGATCAAAACAGCATCACAGGTTAAATATACACCAAACAGAAGCAACCTGCATTGTGATGTAGAGGCTTAATAACAAAGACATGAGTAGCATATGAACCTTGTGTTCCAACATTCGAGAAAGTCTATTTTTCTCTTGCAAGTCGCCAGCATGGTGTTGCTTGCTGAGTTCAATCTCCCGCTGCAAGCAGAAATAAATGACTAAAGTGCTCACATGTATCTGAACTGCATAAACAATAAAAGAACAGTAGAAAACTGACAAGCTGCTCTTGCTCGTGAAGGATCTTCTCTTCCTCAAGACGTTTCTCGAAAGCTTGCTCGATCAGTGGTGCCTCTTCCTGCCTTTTTGCCCTTTCCAGATAATCCATTGTTTTTGCAAGCCTCTGCAGTTTTTTCTCCATTTCCTGGCGCTCCTTCAACTGTTCATTCAATGCCAATTCCATGATGGCCTCCTTAGTAAGCTCCTGCACCCAAATATTCAGATCTATAAGAATATTGAAGAGGTTTGCAATTCAAAGATAGAATGGTAATTCAAGTTCTAGCCAACACTAGAATAGAGAATTTTAGGCTTTTAGCAGTGTGACTGATCAACATTACTTCAGTACAACGGCACAATGTGATCGATAGTACATGTAGCAAGATAATACAAAACTGAAAATTAGTACATGTAGCAAGATAATACAAAACTGAAAATCAATAAATACAATCATCCGCCTTAGCATGTAGCATATTTAGGATTAAAAATGAAATTTAGTTCTATCGTACTCTTGTACCATCAAATTTTAGTCCGCAGCCAAAATAATATTCAATTATCCCATGCACCATATCAGACATCTAAGTTGCCCACACTAACAAAACCAAACGAGCACACAGGTGCCAACACGTTTGTACAATACTGAAATGAAGCACGAAATACAAGATCTGAGCCCGGCATGGAGTTCGCCTCCTTGTTTGAGCCAGAAATTCCCAATTGAAACCTTGATCATGTCTACATGTACATCACCTTTCACCTACTGGTTATCTGATCCTCCACTAAAATCCTTATAGAAACTTAAAGCAAATAAAGGACCATTGTTTTGACAAATATAGATAGCAAGCAATGCTAGTTGTTGTAAAGCAATAACTGTTTCTTACCCCTTCAACAACGACATGTTTTTTCCCTGCTTTCTTCAAGTCTTCTAGCAACTTTTTTGCTTCTGCTTTATTTTTTTCCTCTATCTCTCTACGAATCCGCTCGTGCTCCCTCTGCTTCTGTTCATTGAGAAGCCTCACCCTTTCCTCGTCCGCAGTTTTCCTTTGACTGTTCATTCTCTTTGTTTCTTCTTCTTTTTCCTGGAAAAATAGAGCAACCATAAACAAAAACGTAATATAAAAGGTAAAAACTACAAAGCATTGAAGAGTAATCAAATAGCATATACCTTCTCCAATATTTTGCGCTCAAGCTCTTCTTTGCGCTTTTCAATGATGGACTTTCTTGCAAGAAGCCTCTTATGTTCATTCTCCACTATTCCAGCCAAACTAATGAGACTTTCACCGAGTTTAGTCAGCTTTTTCACTGGTGGACGAATATGATTCCTCGCTTTATTTAATGAATCAGCCAGAACACTAAGGTGATCACTTAATCCATCAGATTCTATGTCCTATAAAGAGAAATTGGTCATAATAATGTCAGTGTTCAATCTCATCATGAAGTAATGCATTCAGCATCACACAAAAATATGACAGATAGCTGGCAATCCAAGTAAATTCAAGCACATAAGAACACCAGCAAGATCTTCCAGATTTCACAAATATGTTCAAACACAACTTGAGGAGCTAAAGGGTTATTGCATGTATTCTGAAAGAAAAGGGTACCACAGTGGAGCACATGCTCATAAAGTCATAAAATACATACAGTGGTACTGCATACATGTGACAATGCGAACCCACTGTACAAAACCTTGACCCATGTGGTACTGCATACATGTGTTTCTAGAAGATAAAACATCAAGGAACATGAAATAATGGAGGGCCAATATAGACCTTGCACATCTTAAATACTTAAATCATGAAAAGAAAACGATATAACAGACATCTACACGAAGCTTACAACCAAGAGGCAACTGTGAACAGATAATGAACAGAGTCAGGACCACATACCACAGTACCAAAATGAACAGCTCCTGATAAATGGTTAACTTTTATAGCAACAAAATTGTGTTTCACAGCATCAACAGAAATCTTCTCCACAACAGAGAAGTCAAAGAAAGGGATCATTCTTGAGAGCATATCAATCTTCATGGACTGGAAAATAAAAGAGGCCTGAAAAGTGGAAGAGACATTAAAATCATTATTGCAACATATAGCAATTATATAAGATATGTACAAACATATATAGCAGAACGTGAATTAGGACCTGTTGCAGCACTCTCAATGTTGTCAGCTTCTCCAATGCTGATATGTACTGAGATAACTTAACCTCTGGAACAGAAGAAGCTGATGAAAGCTTCCCTCCAATCTTTGAAATCTTTGAAAGAAGTGGCTGCACTTTTGATGCAAGGTCCAGAGGGAGAAACTCATGTTCCAAAAGGTTGTATAAATCTCGCACTTCTTGGGAAGCACATGAAAGGACTCCTTTGGACACCTACAAGCCATCAAAGATATTGATAGCTATTTATGACAGCAGAGAGATAGCATTGATTTTATATTGATGGACCAGAGTAAAGAGATGACAATGCTTTCATATTTCAGCTATCCAACTCACATAGTAAAAAGGAGAATCATGTTAAGTGCTGCAAATAAGCAGTTAATTATAACATAAAAATAACTTAGCAGCACAATTGCCACAGAAGAAAGCTCTTTGAAAGTGTCATGGCCATGCTGAATCGTTTGATGTAATTACAATATCACATGCATTAAAATGTCCCTTCCTGAGCAAGACATCTTTCTAGAGTGATAAAACAAAATAATAATAAAATGCTTATAAAGGAATGCATGTGGTAAGACCAAATACAAAAATTAGAAAACACAGTTGCAGGAATAACAGTATGATTTTCAGAACGTACCAATTCGGATAGAAGAGAAGCTCTTGAAGGCTGCAAAAAGGATAGCAGACTGATCAGGGTGGAAAAAGTGCTACTGAACAAACTCTTTAATTTACAAACAATTTGGAGAATAAACCATTTCCCTATTTTCACGCTTGGAATCAAGCGAGAAGTTAACAAGGTTGGCCATCCGCATGTTACGCTCCTTCTCATTCTCTGCCTCAAAATGAGATGCACCATATTTTTGGTCATAAGGTGCCACAGATAGTGCAGCGAGCAAGACAGAAGATGCTATTAATTGTAGATCCTTCTGTGACAAGTTCTTATTGTAGCTCTTTTGCAAGTTGAAAAGCTTGAGCCATGCATACGCATGATAAAGGTGGCTATCAGATATCCAGAAAATTTCAGTTAATTTTGCATAATACACCACCAAGACAGAAGGTTTGGGCATTTTCTTCACCATGCTCATCAAACCATGGATATCTTCCACAGATCGGAAGGCTTCCTGCAAGATGGTATATTCAGTGACAATTAGAGGAATGTAACATTTACATGGATAAAGAATTAATTAAAATACGTAGATTCTGGAACAAACCTGCCATAGGGAAACCTCTGTAGCAACTTTAAGCTGTTCAACACGTGTATCAAGATACAGTTGTAAACTTTCAGGTGCAGTCAGATCAGGCCGATCTCTTTGATCGCGATATTTGTTGAGATTGGCAAGATGATTTCTGATGATCTCACACAACCTACGGAATTCAGTTGTTCTCTTATACTGCTTACAGAATTGAAAAGCCCTATGAGCAGTCATCTGCATATTAGGAAGTTAATCAGTCACAAAAGCTACTCATAAGTATTTACAGGAGCACAAATTGTACAAGGAATAGAATTAATACAGGCAAATGTAGGTATCCAATAGGAAAGTCAGTAATGCCAAACCATTTAACCAGAATATTAGATGTTACATTAAGCTATTGACTTCAGAAGATATGTTTTGAATTTAATAGCAAAAGTGCGTGAATTCCAGATAGAAACTGGTTGTATGATCACATACATCTGAATAGGGTGATTGTTGAATAGATATAGGGGAGGCAAAAAAAGTATAAATAATTCAACAGAAAATAAAAAACTATATAAATGGTAAATGTGCTGTACTGATATCATGGACAAATTACGTATCACATACGAAGTAAATTCAACAAATACAAACAATAGTACAATACAATGTTCATAAGAGAATAGCTTACAGCATATAACGCTTCAAGCTTTGAATTGTTCCTTAGTATCTCAAGAACCGTCCTGTATGTCTCCCAGAGGAACTTAAACCAAGGAGTGACAACCTCTTTATCTGATCGGTCCTTTCCTTTCTCCCCACTAACAAAACTGAGCATCAGGTCCTCGGGACGGTTGTCTGCTTCCAGATCTTCAACATCCAAAGCATCTTCCAGGGCTTCTGCCTGGCTCTTAGCTTGTTCAGCTCTCTCATTGGAAAGCTGCATGAAGTGCTTTATGACATCCTCCAAGGATGACACGTTTACTTGCTGGCAGACAATCCTATACTGAATAAGACCATCTTTTGCATATCTTCCTTTCCTCAGGTCAACACAGAGTTCTACATACTTCATCATGATCTTTTCAAGAGGCTTTTGCCATGATCTGTACCTTCTCGAGGTAATGAGATCATGTAAAGCCTGGAGAGCAGCCTGCTTTTGCCCAACATGAATCAATTCTGAAATAAAAGCAGAGGAAGCGATCAGTATACACATCTTTTACGCCAATATGAGTAGATGTATAAGAATTTGCGATCATCTTCAGAACAATATCAGTACAAAGTCATGAGTCATGCGATAATTAAACAAATTTAGTTAAAATAAAAGTGAGGTCAAAACTCTAGGGGGTTTCTTTTTTTTTTGGTAAACTTATTGGTAATCGTGGAGTTGGCAATAGCAAGTAAAAACATGGATATAAGAAAAAAGTACTCCACTGTTCACTTCAGCTTCCACTGGAAGCCTTAAAACTAAAATGGCATGGCTTAGCATTGTTACATGACATAATCCATCAAAAAAATCTCAATGGGTCAAGTTACCCCACATAATGAGGCAGAACAGATAACTTGCTAATATTTGTTTGTATATGCAGTAACCGAGGCTTCACCTATCTAATGGAACAACATCAATTTAGCCAATGTTCCAACTTCCAAACCAACCTAACATGTAGAACCTAACCTACCACTCAATGGCTTCATCAGCAGTAAACATTTCCTATTGAATTAGAGCAACAAACACATCAAACACTTCATCTTCACGCTATCCTAATCATAAGTACCTAGCGAGTTCTGCATGCAGCAGGTATAGCTGCAACACTACCGCGACAACAACCACCTGCATAGCTGCAGATAAAAACTGAGCCAAGTCCTAGCGACTCACTCACCTTCAGCTCTCTTGAGTGCGTTCTCAGGTTTCGCAAAAGTCGCCATGGTCGCAGTGAGGGTTCTGTGGTGGCGATCTACTCCTGCACCACACCAACAAACCAAACAGCAAAAACTGGGTTATTATGTCAGATATTCAGGAAAGCAGTAACGTGAAATCCATCGGGCAAAGGATTCCCCCGCAACAGATCGATTCAAACTAGTAGCAGGCCCAGGATTTAGAGGTTGGTTATTCAAAATATGAAGGGTCATAAAAAAATACAGAAATGCTATACAACACACGTGTGTTTTAGGGAGAAAAAACACATGGATTTTTTCTCTATTTTTTCACCGGTGCTCCCAGTGCTCGGCGACCGGTGTCAGGCCCGCACGCACTCGGATCGCACCCGGTGAGCCTCCTCCGCGGCGTCGTTCGCCTTCGCCGTTCCCAGCACGGTCACGCAAGCACCCAGGCCAGGGCAGTCCAGAGACCGCAGAGGAGCAGCATCGGGCTTGCCACCAAACTCCAAAGGCCATCAATGGCTGGAACGCATGCATGTCGTCCTGCACTACATGGTCATGGTGGTGCGGTCCAGAGGTCAGATGTCTTGGTTGGCCACCCAGGGATCCGGCTCCAGGTACCTCCTCCTCTCTGCGATTTGTGATTTGTCCTTCCATAGAAAAAAAAAATTGTTTTTTGTGATCTATAGATCTGTGATCTTGTAATTTACGATTGTTTGGAGGTAGAAGAAGGCTGGAGATAGAAAAAGGCTGAAGGTAGAAGGAGGATGGAGGTTGTTGGATCTTAATTCTATGGTGCAAAAAAATTCATGTGTTGAATCTACGTAAAACAAATGGTTGTTGGGTAGACAGACTCAAAAAATAACTTAAGACCTAATATTTGGCATGTATATAATATACCATATCGTAAGTGTATAAACATATCAATATAACACATATTTGAGTACGATTTTATAGAATTAATTGCATCCAACGATGCATTGAAATGCGAAGCAACTTACAAATTCAATTCACTGGTGCTGGTGGACAGGAGTGGTGGCTCTGCTCCAATCGGCTACCGCCCGGCGCCCTGCTGACCGTAGAGCCTCCAATCGGCAGTGGCTCAGGGGCTCTGCTCCGATCGGCGGAGTGGCAGACCTCCGGACACCCAGCGCTCGGCGCTCAACTGCCCGCCCTGCACGTCAGGCCACGTCGCCCGCCCGCCCCAGCGGCCAGCGCCCAACCGCCCAGGTCACCGCCGTCCGCCGCCGCCGCTAGGGGTTTTGGGAAAGGAGGAGGAACGAGTCGGTGACGCGATCACTCGCGTGTGCGGTGTGCCTCCACCAGGGGTCCTCCTGGTCCTGGGCTCCTGGCGGCGGGGGACTCTGGGAGAAGCTGGACCTTGTTGGGCCAGCAGGTAGAGAGGGAGAGGTGTAGGAGAAGATAGTGGGTTGAATTCAGGAATTCGCCGACATGTTGACTCTAATTTTCCTTTTTTTATTATATTAAAACACGTTCGTGTATACACTATAACACTATAGATTCTTTTTTAGCAAAAATAATAGGTATTCAACTGAATACCCTTGATTTCATGTGGGTCTGCCCCTGGTTCGAACGGTAAATCCATAGAAAAACACCGGAGATACCACTAATCGAGACGAGACTGAACGATGGGCGGCGAAGTTACCTGTAGATCGCCGGCAACGAGCACGGGGAGGCAACGTGGGGCCGTCAGGGTTGGAGGTGGGGATCTGGGAGTGCGGGTGGAGACGGCGGTGACGCAAAATATATTTGTCGTTTTGTCGGACGGGGTGATTAGATGTGGTGTAGCACTTAATGATATAGGGTTTATACTGGTTCAGCCAATATGTCCTACGTCCACTTTGAGTCGGTCGGTGACTTTATTTCTGAGCCCAGATACTCGGAATTTGCTGTGGGATTACAAACAAGTAGAATTAAGATGGGGGTATCAGAAGTCCGGTCGGACTCTGGACCGAAGGGCCGAGAGTGACGGAAACTCCTACGTGCGCTAAGTATTGAATGTATGCTCGGTATAGCTTTAAAATGTCTAAAGCTAGCAGAGAGTGAGTCGTAATGATCCGTGTGTTGTCTGTTGTTCGTCTAATAGATCCTCCTTTTAGGAGAGAGCACATCCTCTTTTATAGATGAAGAGGACGGCCTTACAAGTGAGAGAGAGAGTGTGGGCTACCTAGTCTTGTTGCCCACGCCGTCGGGTACGAGACGGTTTGTGGGCGCCTATAATATTGTTGACGTCCTGATGCATGTGGTTGGTTCCATCGTGTTCTTCTGATATGGCAAATGTCGACGTCTATCATATTGTAGGACAAATGTCGACGCCCACAATACTATTCGTGTCCTAACATGTCTAGAAGGTTGCAAAGTACCCTTCTGACATGGCCTGACAGTACTGTCCTGCATGTATGCAGGGTACGGTCCTTGGTATTGCGGTTGACTTGTGCGCCTTACCTTATCTGCTCTGCCTGATTTCTCGGGTCCTCACCGAACGGGCGCCCCCGTTTGGTCGTTCCCAGTCGGCTCCGACTGCACCGGTCGGAGAAGAGCCGCAGGCAGAGCTTTGGTGTGTTCCCGGTCGGAGAGGCGGGTCGGAGTCGAAAGCGAGCGTCGCCCTCCTTAGCTAGGCCCTCCGGTCGGAGAGGCGGGTCAGAGTTGGAAGCAAGCGTCCCCCTCCTTGGCCAGACCCTCTGGTCGGAGAGGCGGGTCAGAGTCGGAGGCCTTTCGGTCGGAGACTAAATCACTCTTTCCGCCTGTCGTTAGGTATTTGGGCCGGTTCAAGAGTTGCGCGTCGTTTGCAACGTCGTCTACTGGGGCGAGCTTTTTGCTAGAAAGCAGGTCCATCAGTGACGCCGAGTTTACGAACCTGACATGATGCGATGCCAGGGCGCTCGGTGGCCGGTGGGGTGAGCATTTCTGGCGTTCTGCACGACGTGGATGGATCTATAGGCGTTAGTTTTCACTTTTCATTTCAGGTGATGGGACTCTACGGTCGTGATGTCAACGGGGAATTCTCTGTCAGGTACAGCTCTCCCATCCCCGACCCCGTGGGGATAAAACTTCCCCTGTCCCCGTCCCTGTCAATGTCATCGGGGGCAAGTTTCTCCCCATCCCCGTCCCCGCGTGGGGATTTCATCCCCGCGGGCTCCCCATCCCCGGGTGGATCTGCCGGTGCTGGATCTGCAACTTGCCATCGCCGAAGCTTGTGCGGTCGTCGGCCCGTAGAGAGACTGCAAGGAGTGAGCGGTAGGAGAACGAGCGATGCTGTGGAGGCTTGGGGGCAGGGGCGAGTTGGGACGAGAGAGCAGGGCCCTCACCTTCGGCTCGGGGGGAGTGCCTAGCCGGGATGCAGGTCGCCGACGCCGGCTGTAGGGACCGGTGGAGCCGGCCGAGCGGCGTTCGTTGCAGGGGAGCAGCGGGACGGGATCCTGGCCGACGACGCCTACTGCACGAACAGGTTCCTGGCTGGCGGCGAGGCCGGCCTTCAGGTGAGCAGGGACCGGGAGCTCCTTCCGGCGAGCAGGACATGGCAGTCTCCGATGATGCCGGCGTAGGCCCAGGCGGCGTAGGCCCGGGGGGCACCATTGCTGAACCGCGGAGCTTGTGCGCGCTAGTGGGCTGGCGGCAGCCATCAGCTTGGGTTGGGGAACGGATGGGAGAGGGAGTGGAGGCTGAGGAACGAGGGTTAGGTCAAAGTTCCTTTTATATATACATGTATAGGTATTGGGCCTTTAGTGTGCAGTTGGGTCCCCGCGGGGAGCGGGGATGGAGGGTTGCATACCATCCCCGCCCCTGTGATGCCGACGGGGATAGGATTTGGCCCATTTAACTTCCCGTGGGGGAAGAGTTCTCTCCATCCCCGTTCCCTAATGGGTGAATTCCCCGCGGGGATCGGGGAATGGGCCCCGTTGACATCTTGACTCTGCGGGGTGTCTGATCTTGGGACGGACAGCTGGGATCAAAGCCCCGTAGGGGCCACGTTTTGGAGGCAAGGGGAAACAGAGGATTAGGTTGAAATCTCTGGCCTAATTTTATGTGGGCCTTGTAGAGAGGCCCATAAAAGATGTCCATCCTTTTTAACAGAGTTTTGGTTTTTTTCGTCCATAAAAAAAAGTCCACAACTCCAAAAAAAAATATTAACGTACCCTGTTCACGTCATTGTCTCAGTGTCCGTGGCTATGTAGTTTGAGGAAATTTGGACACTGTTAAATCTATACACTACTAATAAGTACACAAGTTTGTTTCAATAGTATTCTGTGAGAGAGAATAAGCTGAAACAAACTAAAACGAGCTGAGAACTGAGCAGCCGAATGTTTCTTTTATTTGACTATATCGTTTCTGAATTTCTGCGTTCCAACCACCTCTTCCTATTTCTTACCTCCCGTCTTGCCACTATGTCCAGTGGCAGAGCCAGGACCTGCAACACCGGTCTAAAAACAACATAATCTTGCATAACTCCATGTAACATAAGCTTAAGGCAAGTCTAATCTAATTTCTATTAGTCAGGTACTTGTTTAGCATTTTCAACTATAAATAGCACCAGGCGCAAGACCTGTCTAGCCCCGCCCTCGACTATCAGTATGTTCGGATGGCTGGTTCGTATCGTTGTTGGTTCGTTTATACGAGAGAGAAGTACTATTGGCTGGTTCAGATAAACAGTGTTTTTGTGAGGGGGCTGGCCAGCCCAGCCAGCCCCAGCCGAACGAGTTGTATGTCCATGGTCTGTCCCGTAATTTTTTTTCTTCTATTTCTCCGTTTTTCTTTCCTTTGTTTCAAATAAGTCCTAGATGTACAATGTGTCGTGTTGTGCATTTTCAATATTATCTTTGTGTTGTGCCGTCAAAAAATCCTCGACTTGGCACAGGTACTCATATTTTTCTAGATTTATTCCATAATTTAACCGTGCTATGCTTTCAGTGATAGGCGACGCTCCGTCGTTAGCGATGCGTCAATGGTGACTTCGTGAATCTCGAGATCTGCCGGCTCTGTCTTTTGGAGGTACTTATACGTACGTGTTATGGGCGTCTGCGTTGTACATGTAATTAAAAAAAAGTACCACTGTGCTGCGCATTTCCATCATGTCGCACACGCATACACGGTGCGGTTGCTTGCCCTTAGGGTGGGGTATATCTCTTGGGGGTGGGGGGGGGCATCTGTAAAATTTTCACGTGGGAAACTACGACTCTCTTGGCTCAATGTGGAGCACAAATGGTACCGCCTTCCATGCAAAGATGCTCATCTTTCGGAGCGAACACGTGCAGCACTTGAGCAGGACATACTACAACGAGTAGTGTGTGTATATATATTGGAGAGTAGTAGTTCTATATATAGAGAGAGTATATTCAGTAGCTGGTTATAGAATAAGTTATTTTGTAGCCACTTCTATTTACGATATTTTTTATATTTAATTTACGATAAAGTAAATACATATTTATGATAATTATGTTACTATAACACATGAAAATATTTACCGTAACATTATAGTAAACCACTTAGTAAGGAATTATTATAATCATGTAAATTAGTATAATAATTATCGTAACTTAAAGTGGCTATAGAATAAGTTATTCTATAGCCCGTTGCAGAGTTGTGTATGTGTGTGTGTGTATATATATATATATATATATATATATATATATATATATATATATATTGTTTATCAATGACTGAAGAATATGAACTTTCTACTTATGATCGTCATGAATTGAATTACAATCAAATTGCTTTGAGTCGGTTACCAATCTCCATAATGGGAGATTACACAATTCAAACAATTAGGAATTCGCCTCAAAGTAAAATAGACGAAGAAAAATCTTGGAATTCAAGAACGATTACGGATTACTAGGTATTAGGATTTTTTTATTAGAAAAATCCATTTTTACTAACTCTAACGATATTGCAGTGCCGAAGCTGATTAAAAATACCATAATTCTCCTCCTCAGCGTCGGAGGTGAGGCCTTTGACAGGCTCTTCGACGACAACCTAACCGCATCGGAGGCCGAGGCGATGGACACGCTCGTCCAGGCAGCTGTGAGGACGCAAGGCCACCTCCTAGGTTGCACCGCTGCGTCGGTTTTGGTTGTTTCCTTTTATGTAATATCGCAACAAAAGGTATTTTGCTAGGATGATCCAGCTACGGCTGTGTTAGGTCGACCTTCTTTGGCGCTCGATGAAACACGTTGTATGTCTGTTTAAACTCTTCTACTTAATATAATGATTCGAGAAAAAAAAAGATTCCAACGCCTTGATTGGCGTCGCCAACACTAGACTGGTCACAGGCGGGCAAAGATTGGGGGAATATATGGGGCAAGGCGCCGGAATCCTCTGATTTTCCGGGCAAAGATTGGGGGAATATATGGGGCAAGACGCCGGAATCCTCTGATTTTCCGGTAGGTCCATCTCGCAATCATCGCGAGCTGGATCTGTCGCCTTCGCCCTCCTGAAAATTGCCACGCCGCTCCATCCGACCCTCACTCACAGCGCAACCACACCCCTTTGTTTAATGAGCTAACCACAACGAGATAGCAATTAGCAATAAAGAAAATAAAAAGAAAACAATGACCCTATTCGCTTCTCTTATAATCTGTCTTTTTCAGCTTATTTTTTTAGCCGGAATAGTGTTTTTCTCTCATAACAAAGCAGCAAGAACAGTATTTTGACTTGTTTTTTCAGCGAAACGAACAGGGCCAATCAGCTTGTTCGCTTGTTGGTTTCAGCCAGCCCAAACCAGCCAGCCAACAGTGTTTTCCTCTCACAAAAAACCAGCACCAGCCAGGCCAAACCAGCACCAGCACCAACCAGCGAACAGGCCCAATGTGCCGCACCGGAAGGAATTAGTTTTCTCGAACAACCGCTATGGTGTTATGTTGGTTATTATACTAACATTATAGTATATATGCAGAAATTCCTAGGTCCACCGCGAAAGTCAGAGCTAGTGTGGAATACAAAGTCTTTGTAATAGTAATGCTGATTAATTGCTGAATTGCTCGTCACGACCAAAAATAAAAATAAACTTCTTGAACTGCGCCAGCGCTAATACATCGTGCTGCGACGATGCGCAAGTTCTCGCGTGCAGCCCTACTTTGCATAATTTGCTGCGGTCTACGATGATGATGCATTGGTCTCTGCTTATCCTCTTTCCTTTTTATTATCTGAACAAAAGACGACCTCCAGCTTACGATCAACTTAATCAGCTTTGTTAACTTGTCATCAGTTTGTGGCCTCCAACTCAACACTGGCTAGCTAGCACTGCACCGCCAAAGCGGCCGTTGGTGCCGGTCTGCTGGACTTTGTCAAGCTCTGCAGCCCATATTCTAATTAAGCAGCAGGCGCCTGCAGGCAGAAGCAGGCTGCAGCAAGCTATGTTAGGTCTGAAAAAGGTAAGCAAGAAAAGCGGTGTGTTTGATTAGAATTTGCAGGCTGGCTAGCTAGCCAGTAGACAGCACTAAGAAGCTTAGCTAACTTGTGCCTGTGATCCTGTGACAGAGACCCCGGCCGCCGAATTAACAGATGCCATGCTAGAGGGGCTGATACAGTGACATCCCTCCCACCGAGACGACGGAGGGTCCAAATGCATGCATGCCCTGCGTCGTCGCTGGACGCTCTCTGGCTCTCTGCCGAATCGAGAGCTGCTTTGTCCATGGCGATAGCTGTCTCGCGTCCTCTCGCTGCCACGTACAAAGTGCATGCGGGCGGGCGTTGGTTAATCCTGGAGACTAAAATAACCTAGCGAGAGCCTAGAGGGATTTCTGGAGTTGATTAAGCGAGCGAGCTGCTCCTAACCAATCTGCATCATCAGAGTAATCAAAATCATCTGCTTGTCCTCTTCCATGCATGCACCGCACCAACTCGGCCCTTCCACCCTGGCCTGCGCCTGCCGCGGCGGCGTCGGGCGTCGTATACATACACCCACTCCACCATCTCCCCCTCACTGCCCCCCAAGGCATCGTCCGATGGCCGCCTCGTCCCCTCGTCCCCTCCTCCTCTTTCTCCTCTGATCTCCTGAATCCCGATCCCCTCTCTCTGATCGAGTTGGTGTGCGTGTTCATGGGGAACACGCCGTCGTGCATACTGCTGGCGGTGGCGCCCGCGGGGGTGGCGGCCGCGCCTCGTCGTCCTCGTCGTCGGCGGCCACCACCACCAAGGTGATCCACGCGGACGGCACCGTCACGCGGCTGGCGCGCCCGGTGCGGGCGTCGGAGCTCATGCTCGACCACCCGGGCCAGTTCGTCTGCGACGCCCGCCGCCTCGCCGTCGGCTGCCGCGTCCCCGGCGTGGCCGCCGACGAGCTCCTCCAGCCGCGCCACGCCTGCTACTTCCTCCTGCCCATGGACATGCTCTACTCCGTGCTCACCCACGAGGAGATGGCCGCGCTCTCCGACTCCCACGCCGCCACGGCCGCCGCCTCCTCCTGGAAGAGGATCACCACCGCCGCCCACCGTGACCGCCGCCACGGCCGCCGCAGCGCGACCGGGGGCCGGGGCCGGGGACCCGCGAAGGACGAGGCCTCCAGCGATGGCGCCAGGGTTTACCCGATGCTCGGCCTGCTCGAGACCGGCGATCTCGGCGCGGATAATAACAACAAACCTGAAATACGCGCCGGACCCGCAGGCAAGTCGGGCGGCGGCGCCGGCGCTGGGTTGAGGCGGCACCGGTCGTGGCATCCGGTGCTGGACACCATCGAGGAAGTTCCGTGACGCGGCGGGCGGGCGGGCGGCTGACCGGCGGGACGCCGCAGGAGTGAGCAGCTTTGGTTGAGCTGGTGTTAGGCGGGCGGCAGCTAGCTTGAGCTGGCTTCCGAGTGTACAGTAGCTAGCTTCAGCTATTCTTTTTTCTCTTTTCCTTTTCCATTTTTTTTTTGTAAAGCCATTGTTTTTTGGGTCTACAAATGCACGACTGGCAAATTGATTGTCAAGTTTTTGTGCTCGGGAAACAAAATAAAGAAAATCAAGAGCTTTTTTCAAAATGAATCATCACTCTAACTATATCCTAAAATGCATTCTGAATTAGCCTTCTTCAAAATCAAAATAACAATAAAATGGGTATCTTAATTTTTGAATATATATTGTTATAAATAAGGTATAAAATTTACATAATAATAAACATAAATACTTCATCCGTTCCAAATTATAAGACGTTTTGGCTTTTCTATATTCATAGTTTTTACTACACACCTAGATATATGTTGTGTTTAGGTACATAATAAAAGCAATGAATTTAGAAATGTCAAAACGTCTTCATAGTTTGGGACAGAAAAAGTAATAAACAACATATTATTTGACTTTGTTTCTATCTAACCTCAATGAAAATTTGGTACTATATATATAGAAAAAAAAGTCTACTTAACCCCAACTATTGATGGTTGTCTACTTCATCCCCTCACTTATAAAACCAGATATTCTACTCCTTAAACTATCAAAAATTGTCTAAATAACCCCTTGAAATGGTTTTAAAGGTGGTTTCGCTGATGTGGCGTATTAAATGTCTACATAACCCCTAACATATCAAGGGTTGACTAAATAACCCCCTCAACTATAAGACCAAATATTATAGCCCTTAAGGTATATCTAATAATATTCAAATGACCCCGTGATAGTCTTGTAGGGCTGTTTGGACATTTAAGGATGGCAACGGTATATTCGATCGGGTGGAGTCTCTGTTCAATCCGAAACCCGTGAAAAGTCTTGTAACACCGGGATAATCCGTTCCCAAAAAACGAACCCGCGGATACTCGTACCCGAATGGATATCCGGAACCCGCTTTGTATAAGAAATAAGGACTTTTTATAAACATATATGATATATATACACATATTCACATGTATAAACAAGAGGCAACAAATAATAAATATTTTCATGGGTCAACTTAGAATAAATTTAATAATATAAGTAAATAAGTTATTATTAGCATATTATAAAACATGATTTTTAATTCCAAATGATTTATTTCGGATATCCATTGGATATCCACGGGTGTAAAACCAAACCCGAAACCAAACCCGATTGGTTTCGGGGCCCCGAACCCAAAAACCGTGGATAAGAAATCATCCCCGAACCCGAACCCGCAAGACCCGAAACCCATGGATATCCGACCCGAAACCGCCCCATTGCCATCCTTATGGACATTGTATCCCACCACACTAGCCTAAGCACTCATACTTGCACATAGGCCCATTGGTTGTCTCCCTCTCCCTACTCTTTATAGGATTACGGCACCGTTCAATGAGCACCACCCTATCTCCTGCTCCACCTCATGGCACTCCTCCACAACATTGAGTTCATGCACTGTACCTACACCCTTGTCATTCGGCTGCACCCCATCCACATCCTCGTCCTGTCTCATTGTCTCCTACCATAGCTATCTAAAAAACTGAAGGACAACCTGATGGAGGATGTGGGAGAGGCCGGATGATGAGGGTGTAGGCATGGTGCTTGAGCTCAATGGCATCGACGAGTCGGGAGGTGGAGCAAGAGACAAGATGTCACGTGCTTCTCGTTGGATGGTGGATTAGTCTAGAAAGAGTTGGGAGGTGGAGGTAGAAAATGTGGCATGTGCACAAGCATAGGTATTTAGGCCAATGTGTCGAGATACGGTGTCCAAACGGACTTACAAGAACATCCATGGGGTCATTTAAATATTATTAGATATTTTAAGGGCTATAATATCAGATTTTATAATTGAGGGGTTATGTAGTCGGCACTTGATATGTTAGGGGGTTATGTGGACTTTTTAATATGCCAAGTTAGTGAAACCACCTTCAAAACCGCCTCAGAGGGTTATTTAGACGATTTTCAATAGTTCGAGGGGTAGAATGCCTGGTTTTATAGGTGAGGGGGTGAAGTAGACTTTTTCTTATATATATATATAAGATTTCCACTAGCCCCCATATTTGTAGCACTAGCGGTGGCGCTAGATGAACAAAAGTTTCAACCAGTGTCCGAAAAATTGGCAAATTTTTTAGTGGCTCATATGAAATTTCAAACTTTTATAATGGCACATAGGGAAAAACGCCTCTAGAATTAACAATTGTAGGATCATAACTGCGCTAGAATTATAAAATCATAGATTCTACTCAATTGAATCGTAGAATCAATCCAAATTAACTAATATCATAAAGTTGTAAAATCTATGATATAATCGAGATTTAACAACTATGTGATGGATATGTTTTACTTGTGAACTCAGCACAACTCAATTGGTTAAATTTCTTCTAGTGAAACATGTTTACCCCGGTTCAACTCCTATTTTTCTAAAATTATTATTTTAGGATTTAATGACGGCATTTTTTTAGTAGTAAGATTTAGGTGCTCATGACTATAGGACTTCAATGGTGTTTGTAGGATTGAATGCACCTACGTTTGTGATTCATAGGATTTGAATGCACCTACGTGTTTGTAGGGTAGTATGGATGGTGTATTAGAGCAGTTGGTCCGCTGGTAAGGTTCTTTGCAGTTTCTCTTAGCTCATCGTATAATAGTTAGCTCTTTATTATTAATACATGGTCTACTTATCTCTTTCTTATAAAGTTTCTTGGTTCCTGTCCATTTCTCCTCTCTCTCTTTTCTTTCTCCTCTAACTCATGCATTTAGTTAGCTTACAGCTTGCTATTATACTTGCTCTTATATAGGATCGTTGAATGTAGATATATGTAGATACCCGAGTGTGTGTAAGTAAAAAAAGCTATCGCATTTCATTCTTCACTAGCCAGCCGGCACACAGGTTGCAGAGAACATAATACTAGGAGCACGAGCTGTATCGAGCCGGCTCAGCAAGATATACAAGTTTGCTGAATGCCGACTGGACCTCAGCTGTACATGCAACTTGTTATGGAACAACAAAGGGATCATATCTCAAAATGGTCCTTATTTTAGGTCATGTTGCTTTGAAGCAAACAAGGAGATATCATATGATATGCCAGTGTATTATCATCTACCTGTAATGATATACAACAACTCAACACGCCGGTTCTCGATGGTTGCAACTTGCGAGAGAATGAGAGATAAAAAAAACTTTACATATATAAGCAAGCCTCCTAATAAACAGGCATTACTGGTTGAGAAGAAGCTAGAGCGATTTACATACTTTTATATATCTGCAAACAACATTTCTTTAGGAAAGAAAGTGTCATGCATTATACTAGGAATTCCTAGGCTGCGAATCTGTCCTAGATTAAACCAACTTCAAGAGCCTGACCGTCTAGTAGCTTATTTGTTTTTTTTTTTAACAAAAGCCGCCAACAGTTTCTTGGGGCCACGTCCACGTTAACTAGTACTGCATCTAAGAGTATCTCCAGGAGTTTGATGTACTTAACTTGCTAAACTAACAGATAAAACAAGTTAATAGAAGAAATAACAACCTTAATTTTTGTCCTTCTCCAACAATCTCTATAATAGCGGTCTAAACAATTTTGCATTAGTAACTCAAACTGTTTCTAACCAATCAAACCTTTTTTTAATAGTTTATTTATCTCTTACCACCTTATCGTATGAAATCCTTTATTTTCTTAATTTACTTAATTATAAGCGTCCAATTTACTCTGATCTCCCTAGAAAAAAAAATCGGAAGGTGAGCGGATATAGAGTTTCTCTTGGTTGTGGAAACTTACAAGTTGGAGGGGATATCTGACAACTTTTTATTTTCAAGTTGCTATTTTACTAAAAACTATTGAAGGACATTTTTTTTCTTTTTGCTAAAAAATTAAAATAGGGAGTCGTTTTTGTAAAACTCCTAGAGATGCTCTAAGAGGTGCCCTAAGAGGTTTTAATGTGCAATTAAAGATGGAACTCAAATTAATAAAGGCGCTATGGTCTTTTCACCTAGGACTAATTTGTCCCTTTTTAAGGACATCCATAATTTTGTTCTAATAAGGTTGATTTAGGCCATGTTTGGGATATATGGACTAATTGCTAGTAGCTAAAATTTAGTCAAAATTAGTTTTAGTCCATCCAAACAGGAGAGCTAATATATGAGTTAATTTTTTTAACCAAGTTTTCAACTAATTGTTAATCAATTAGTCCTAACTACTTTTTTTTAGCAAAATTTAGTCCTAAATAAAAACTGAGCTGTGTACCGAGGGCCGGCGAAACAAATAAAAACCGGCCCACTCCGGGCGGCTAACGGCCTTCAACCCAATCTCGCGCGCACCAGCACCACGCATTCTCTACCCTTTAACTGATTCGTGGTCCCGCTCTTATTTGTCCCCACATTTCAGTTGAATAAGCTCCAACCGCCCGCCGTCCCTCTCCCAGTACCCCCGTGCCATCCCAACGAACCGAGACACCGACACGTAGGCCAACCTCTCTGCTGACCCACCTGTCATCACCGAGCCGCCTCGCATCCGTCGTTCCCCTCCTTCCGGCACAACTCAACCCAGCACGCGAGCCGCACGAGCAGGCTAGGGTTCCGGCGAGGCGACGGCGAGCGCCATGGCGGGGATTCGGTGGCCGCCGGAGGACCCGGAGATCTTCCCTTCCCGGATGGTCGGCGGCGGGGCTTGGGTCCCCGTCGCGCCCCCGGGGGAGATGGCGTCGGACGACGACCGGTCGGTGGCCGCGGACTCGTGGTCGATCAGGAGCGACTACGGCAGCACCCTCGACGACGATCAGCGCTACGCAGACACCGCCGAGGTCCTCCTCGCCTCCTCCTCCGCCTCCTCCGCGGCCGCGCCCTCCGCGTCGGTTGCCGTCCACCCCTCCTCTGACTTCAGGTGAACTGATTCTACTCCATTTCTGGTTCCTGTGCCGCAAAACGGGCGAGCATCTGTGATCTGATTCCTAGTTTTGGGGAAACAAAGGCATCAATTCTCTTCCCCCATAATAAAGCTTAATTTGGTCCAATGATCTGTCGGTTATTGCATTTTGGTCCAAAATGATCTTATTTGTCTGGGCCTCGGTTATTGTTGCTGTGGATCTTTAACAGCTTCGACAAGGATGTCCCTGACTCCAGCGACGTTGAGCCTCGGTTGCTGGGCTTGCAGAATTTTCAGGATGGTGCTTATGCTGAGGATCTTGCAAATTTCCATGAGCGCAGCCACGCTGATGACTGGTATTATTCTTCAAGCTACTGTATTAGCATCTAAAATTATTTGTAGTATGCACAATAACCTATAGTGGCAGCCTTTTTTGTCTGATGACGAGTGTTATGCTCCATTGTCATTTATAACAAAACTGATTTGACCTTTGCTTATATGAGCGATCAGGAGCATTATTTTGATAAGAATAAGAATGTAAAGGCGACTCAAGCAACCTTGGGTTGTACAAACTTTCTACATTTGCCATGCCATTAGCGTTTGGCATTGTGGTATCGTTTTGAAAGCACCTTATTCTAGATCCTATAATTTTGCATCTAGCTTGAAGCATCTTTTTAGATCCATACCAGGGAAAAAAACTGGAACCAGTAAATATTCCAGTAGAAGACTATTGCATAGTTGCAGTGTAGCGCATCACAACATTGCAACTACAGTTGGCCTTTAGACCTGGCATTCCAAGGGAATTTATTTCAGGATGGGAATAATAAACCTTCTTTTATCCATGTTTAAACTTTACCATCTCTACTTCTAGTAAACCTTATTTTATCCATGTTTAAACTTTACCATCTCTACTTCTAGGTTTTCAGGAAATATGATGATTATTATCTTTTTATTTGAGGCTTGGCTGTTATAAACCATGTCCATCACCCGCTGGTGAAATAGGAGATCAAAATATGCAGAGTAGTTTTTTTTTCCACTTTTATCGGATTACTGATTTGGGTTTTGGGTAACAGCTGTTTGCAGCATTTTTTCCTTTCAAGAAGAGATGTAAATACCGATAACAAAAAAGAAGAAGAAGAAGTGGTGCAAAATTAATTGTGTGTTCCCCCTTTGTTTTATGCATTTGATGCTTATATTGTTGTTGACCAAAACCTGTGTGTGTTTGCAGGTTTGGCACTGAGATCATGGATATCCGTGTAGGTTGGACCAAAAATTTGTGCTCAAGCAGGGATTTACCCAGCTGCAGCGTACTTGACATTGGGACCGGGAGTGGCAGACTCTTGCAGCAGCTTGCGAAACAGGGGTATGCAGTATGCTGAGGAAATGTGAAACTTTGTTTTTCATTGTTAATGCCAGCACTGACCTGTTAATATACAATATACAGGTTTTCCGATCTGACTGGGATTGACTATAGTGAAGGCGTGATTGAGCTTGCTCGGAACCTTGCAATTCGTGATGGGTTTGAGCACATTAATTTCTTGGTGAGTCAGCCAGTGAAGCATATATTGTAATTTGTAAATTCACGTCGACATGCATGTCCATATTGCATGCCCACATTTGCTGTCCTTCTTGTGCTTCAGTTTATAACATATCCCCAAAGGTTCTCATTGTATCTTAGGTGCAAAACTAGCCTTAATATTGTAAGAGCAGTATAGAATTATTTCAGCTTAATATGAATGGTCCTTTTGCAGGTTGATGATGTATTGGAGTCGAAGCTGGAGAGAAGATTTGAACTTGTAATGGATGAAGGGACTCTTGATGCAATTGGGCTGCATCCTGATGGACCTGTGAAGAGGTAAATGCATGTTTACTGTGTAGATGGTGATGTGTCCTTTTAGTCCTCATGCAGTATTCACACCGATGCTTACATGTTTTCAATTGCTGAAACTTTTTAATGCGGAAAGAATGAGATCTTGTTTGCACACATGTCTAAGCCTCTAATTTATGTTCATCTCCTGCATTTCAGAATGATGTATTGGCAGTCAGTTGCTAGCTTGGTTTCCCCTGGTGGTATATTGGTCAGTTCTTCCATCCAAATTGGACCTGGAATTTTCTTTTTCTTTGTACATTTATGGCAGAATTATGAAAGACCTGTTTTACATTGACAGTGAAATTTGATGTATGCCTACTGTATCTACTTGAAAGTTGAAACTGCTATGCACATATGGTATACTGCTTTACTGCAATAATCCTCAATTGGCTATATGCTTTCACCTTGTGACTACCTGTTAGTAATGACAAAAGTAGTATAGCATATCCCTGTACGAGTAATATGGCCATTCAATTCTCTGATGTCACTTCAACGATTTTTTAGGTCATCACATCATGCAGCAGAACCAAGGATGAGCTGGTGCAGGAGGTAGAAAACTTCAACCAAAGGAAGCTTGGTGCTATGGGCTCAGAAGGATTGCCGGCTAGTGAAGCTGCGGTGTTCAGCTACCTCGACCACGTCCAAAGTTACCCTAGTGTGGATAGTTCTTGCATCACGACCGTTGCTTTCCTGCATAAGTGAAATGAAACATAAATGTATGCTTGGTTTATTGGCCCTAGAAAGTTACCATACCTGCTACGATATTAACTATGTACCCAAATCACTGGTGTATCTGGATAATATTTTAGTGTTTTACCTTGTTGGGTTTGTTCATCAGAGCTCAGATGTTATTGTATGTTGTTTTGGTATTGCTGGGTCCTGGATTTCACTTTGGTATACTCTTTGAAAGCATGTCAAGGAACTGATGCAATCAAGACATCCAGATGTTTTAATGCGTGGAAACCGGGTATTATCTGACCAGAAACACAAGCTGCATGTTAGCACGTATCGTGGCAGATGACTCACATGACCTGTCTCGAGTTTTTGCAATACTAAGGGCAAAGCTATTACAGGGAGAAAACATCAACAACAATAAAAATGAATGATTCGACTGCAATTAGTGATGCAAAATGCAAGATATAAAAAGGAAAGAAACCACTAACATTTGGAAACTGAAACGTAGTTACTTCGGTTTGCAATTTCAAGTACTTTTCACAGGGAATATCTTCGAGTACACGAGGGTAACTGCAGTTAGCTCACAAGTTACAGTATCCGGGTTTGTCAGTAGTCTGCTATTTTCTCATATGTACACGAGTAGCAGGGCCACTACATTCTTCTCTATGGGCTTCGAAGCGAGTGGCTTCAGGCTATCTTACTATGTCACCACATTCTCATTTTTGTAGATTTTTTTTCCCTTATGATCATCCTTGCTTCTGTCAGCTACACAGGAGGCGCTGGAATTTCCTGTCAGATGGGAGGCTGGAACTTGGAAGGCTTGTTCTTGGCCATGTCAGTAGACTGGTATGAAGCGTGGTTGCGAGTAATTTGGATGTGCCGAATTGGTAACTGTCTCTTCTTCCTCTTCGTCTTCGTCTTCCTCCTCGCTTTCTGATGAAGATATATATGCTTCCCGGCTTTCCTGCAGTGTTAGATGATCTAGATCCGAGAGTTATGCCTGATATAAGTTTATGTTGCTACTACTACGAATGGAGAAATTTCCACAGGTGTGACATGCAATTATGCCGTATCTGCTGCTGCTAAACTGAACATGATCAGGATTGCATTTGACACAGCGCGACTCGGTAATGAAATTACCTGCTGCCGCCGTCGACAGTGGAAGCTTGCCAATGCTCTCACCATCACCAGGATTGGGAATAGGATTCCTGCAGTCCTCAGTACCAGAAGCTTTATTTCCAGAAGCAGAATGCACAATAGGAGACATCAAGTCAAGACCAACTTAAATCATACTAAAAGATACTGGTGAATGCTTATCGTCAATCTTACCGCGAATAAGGCCAATGAGTACTCCCCATTGTCACCAATCATGAGAGGAAGAGTGTGACGAAGGACCAGGAGTGCCATGAACTGTTCAATGATACAATCACAATGACAGATCTTCATCAGACAGGAGATAAAGGAAACCACACCAACCACTGTTGGTTTTGATGTTAGAAACTCACAATTATGGCAATTGTCCGGCAACACAAGGTGCTACTTCTTGTCCTGATAGGAAAGTAATCGTCGTAATTGTCCATAAAATCACGCTCCGTGGGCATCATTGTTATTATCTGGAAATCATTGAGATCTTGCCGGGCAATCTCCCAGTTCCCTCTGTAGAGAAACGTTAGACATTCATTGAGAGAACTAAACAAGAACACAAACAGATTTATTAAGAATGCTAAAGAGATGAGGACCTGAAGTTCATTGGTATACTTCCATAGTGAAACAGCTGCTGTGGAGAAGTATAACCTGGCCTGAATTGCTGAAGAAACATATCAAAATTAAATCCATAGGCATGTTTCCATAGTTGCACATATGTTAAAACTTAAAACTGCATCACCAGTTGACATATTTTTAAACCAATAAACAATATGCATAGATCACCTAAAAGTTTTTACCTGCAGGCATATTTCACACATGGTGTCGCCTTTCTCATTGCACCAGCGCTGAATGCATTTCCGGTGTGCATACTGCAAAAAAGAAACTAATAGTTTAATTTGGTTCAATCACTCTAGCTTGCTGAAAAAATACATCTTCATAGTCCATTCCTCACACAGCATGGTAATATGTCCACTATCAGAAACAAGACCGCGCAATAAGATCAACACCAGGGTGTTAGCGTTGCTCTTAAGTTTCAACTACATTCTCGCCTTGCATTCAGCAATGTGGGTAGTTGCCCCACACATTGCGTGAAGGTCACACTCAAACAGATAGCTCCCTCCATACCCCTATCTTCTGGAAAACACCAACACCTTCCCCTTCCCTATATCTTTCAACACACTATTACATCACTGTCAAATAGGAAGGCCCACTACATAACATACTAGATAGTGCCTTCCAAGCCACATTGAGAAAAACACAGTTGATTTGGTTCATAGCTCTTGTCCACAATGGCCCTCAAGTTAACATGGAACTCCCAAGTCCTAACTGCACAACCTACAACATCTAACCCCAACCATAAAAGTCAACAATTTCTCATGCTAGGTCAACTACATTAACTAGTGCCCAATTTAAATCTAAAGAGACCCAACATAATACTGTAGTCACAAGTGGCAACAAGCCAACAACTACATCTTATGCTGAAAAAAAGATCAATTTTTCATTTGACAACAGGAACTGTAACACAATATTTTAGGAACTCTGAGAAACAGTTGCATAATCACCATAGCACGATCGTGAATCTGCTGCATAACCCTGAGCATTTATTTTGGCCCAAAATAAAAATAGCGTGATTAAGGAGGACAACTACCTTGAGGCTGCCACAGCAGGCGCAGGGGGCCTCCATGCAGGTGTCCCAGTCCTCCTCCTGGCAAATCCTACACTCCACCACCTTAGTCGCCGAGCCACCGCCTAGGGCGCGATGGCAGTACTCGACGGCCACCGTCTCCTGATGCAGATCGACCATCCGCTTCCCACCGCCGATCGCCGCCTCCAGCGTCGACTCTGTCAGCAGCCGGTCCACGATCAACGCGAGATGGTCGCCCATCGGTCCTGCGAGCACGCAATCCACGGTTCAGGGAAACAATGCCACCATCTCCACGAATTGCAGACACTCGAAACAGAAGACCAAACAAACGCAATCGCAACTGCCAAATTGAAATTGTGTTTGAGACATCCGTAAGAGTGCCGAGAGGAAGACCAAGAACCCAATGAGGACCAGGCGGTTGCAGGCGGAGGGGATCCAATGCAAGCATGCAACTGCTCCCTTTAACTGACTGACAGAAACCAACCGGCAACCGCTTGGAGATAATGCGGCTTGTTCCTCGTTTATGTGAGAGAGCGGTACTGCTGGCCGGTTCACTGCTACAGTAGCCATGGGAGGGGGCTGGCCAGCCAGCCCAGCCAGCCCCAGCCCAGCGAACGAGCGGTAAATTGATTTAAAAAAATACTAAATTGATAACCGCAAGATATGGAGGTCAGATTAGTGGAATTGTAGCAGCTGGGCCGACTGCCGAGAGAGGCCAAGACTGTGAGCGGTGGATCGAATAATCGGCAAGTGTACAAAGAACAGGTAAAAACCTCCACATTCGGAACACGGCATATAATGGACGAATAAAGCTGACACTTTTTTTTTATACTAAACCAATTGATGAGAGTTGGCTAGCATTATAGCGTGCACAAGGGGTACGAGGAAAGCGCATTTATTAGTGTTGCATCGAAGAAACACCACGGAAAGGGGAAAAAATGAACACCAGGAAACGGAAACTCACCGAGGAAGAGGAGACGCAACCGGAGACGAATAGGAAGAAGGAATGAGGCTTGGCAGCTGGCGAAGATACCAAGCGAACTCTCAATCTCGACGGGCCGAGCGTCTGACGAGTTAAATCTAACTGAATAACACAGCAGCACCAACAAGAAGAACCAGATGACGGGAACAAACAAATCTTTACGTTGTCCTAAGTACCAAGAACAGGGCTCCGGGACCGGGAGGAAGAGGAAGCTTCGAAGGCTGGATTCGGTGCGGGGTTAAGGCACGGAGGGGATTGGGTTGGATTGGTGGAGGGGTTAAGGGACGCAAGAGATGGAGTGCCCTCGGATGTAATACAGCGATGGAGGTGGAGGGGAGGCCAAGCCAAGGTAAGGCCAAGGCAAAACAAACCCTCTCTGTGCTGTGTTGTGCCTCTCGCTCGTCGCTCCCTTGCAGCAGAGGTTTAAATTAGAAGAGAGGCAAGGTTAAGGGTGGGAAATAGCACTGGTATCATATCACGCTTCACTGATAGTACTGCAGCTGTTTTGTTGGCTTCCCAGGAATGACCTCCTAACCTCGTCACTTTGCAAAAGCTTTCTATATTTTCTAGAGGTTTGGAGGGGGTGAAAAGCTCAACTTTTTTTTCCCTTTGACTCTTTTTTTTTTCTGAAAAAGGAGCCTTCTCTTTTGATTGTGGTAACTGCTTTTGGGTATCAGTAAACCAGTGAGATTGCAGAACAAAGGAGTACATCATCAGACACCGGTAAGAACTCTTCATATCTCACCAGTTTGTACTGCCCATGTCTAGTCACTGTTATGAATGAAATGTCCTGATGGCAATGGTGGAACAATGCCAGTGTCTGAAACAGGAGTTGTCGAGAGGTGATTCACCACACCTTTTTCTGCACAAACTAGTTCATCAGAATACATGCTGCATTCTGGTTAAATCTAAATATACTCTGCTCATTCAGTCATTTGGGCAAATGACCAGTGCCCTGTTCGTTTGGCTGATAAGTCATGACTAAAAGTACGGTTGACTGATTTGTTGTATGAGAAAAATACTATTCGTTAATAAAAAAGTACGGCGACCAGCAAACATTGGCGCAGGGCTACGTGGTCTGCAGTTTGAGTTTGCGGACGAACTGGCCGGGACGTGCGATTTGCATGCCCAAGAATCCATTTCGCGTGAAACGACATGAGAGCTGCTAAAGCTACTAAGTGACATGATTAGTAGGGGATCTACTGTAATAGACGGCTGAGATGTGATAATTCCTGAATTGCATCATTAGCCGGCAAGATTCTCCCTGTACTTGGAAGAACGCAAACGGGTTCCTTATAGGTGGCCCACCACTTCTGCGACGGCACACGAGTCAAGTTACAGGAGTGCCCCTCCCGGGACTTGGACTTTGGTAGCTCCACTGCCCTAGGACTAGGAGCAGAGCAGGAAGCAGTAGGCTAACCGCTTTGCACACGTTTGCCGCGACTGCTACGCCCACTACTGCTCGTTGCCGCTAAACCACGATGCCCACTCTCCGGCCGGCGGCCTCCGGGGATTTCTTTTCGTGCCGTCCTTTTCCGGGTAAGAGCAACTCCAAAGACATACACTTCCCGACTTATTTCAGCTTATTTTAGTTTATTCTCTCTCATATAATATTATTTAATTATCTAAAATCAGCGGAGCTACCGTAGAAATATCTGCCAGTCGAACACCCTCACTCGTCATTAGCAAAATTAAGAAAAATGAGGATCCAAGAGACTCGCTATCAGCATTTGTAAAATGCCATACCAGCTATCCCGTTTTTTTCCGGTCGGCAAGCCAGCGGGCTTCGCTAGCCATACGTCTTGTCCGGCCATTTCTAACGCCCTCGTGGCCTCCTTTTTCCCTCCCTCTGTACCTCCACTCGGCTGACAGGGACAACTGGGGCCTGTTTAGTTCCTAAAAATTTTTACGCACCTATTATATCGAATCTTGCGGTATATGTATGGAGTACTAAATATAGATAAAAAAATTAATTGCACAGTTGGATGAGAAATCGCGAGACGAAACTTTCGAACCTAATTAGTCTATAATTAGACATTAATTGCCAAATACAAATGAAAGTGCTACAGTAACCGAAACAAAAAAAAATCATCTAAACGCGCCCTTAAATTTTGCTGCACCGTTCATCACTCACGTGTCCAATCAAAAGCAATCAAGTGCGGCACAGGTGACCGCTCTATTGCTCGTATCATGCATGTCTTGGCATCTGGTGATGGTGATGAAGAACGCAACACAAATCACTTATCGTGTTGTTTTGAAGGATAAAAAGAGTGACGGAAAAGACCAAAATTGATTGAATCAGTGATGACGTGGTCACTTTAAAAAAATAGAGAGTCTAATTTCGCGAGTCTGTTGCGAACCGAATCTATTTTAAGAGTCTATATTATTTTACAAAGCTAGTTTAGAGAGCTAAATTTCCATTATCTCTTGGAGTTGCTTAAGAGACTCTTCTAATTATCTTGTGCGTGCAAATGCGCAATGTCGGATCGTGACGCGAGCAGTGGTAAATCTTGCGAGTTCATTAAGCGCCTTGGAAGGAAATGCAGGAATAAAAAAGAACCGTAGGAATAGATTGTCCTAAAATTTTGGAATTCTATATGGACGGAGAACATATAGAAAAACTTGATTTGCATGCACTTGTATCCACGTAAATCCATGTGTTGGAGTGTTCGCCTAAACAGTCTTAAACATCCGCTAAACGGTATGGTTGCGAGCTGTTTTGTCTAGGAGTAAACGGAAATTAAATGGTTGATCGTTTAAGCAGTTAAAAAACAAGGAGAAATAGTGCCCTGTTCGCTTGGCTGATAAGCCATGGCTGAAAGTACTGTTGGCTGATTTGTTGTGAGAGAAAAATAATGTTCGTTGGCTGAAAAAATACGACTTATAAGCCAAGCGAACAGGGAACGCTCTGAACTGAACGGAGGTAAAAGGTTTTAAACGAGCTAAATGGTTGATTAGGTGAGTACCGGGTAAATCCAATTGAGTTCTACATGCACAAATTTATACACTTAAGTTTATTATATTCATAAAAATGTATACTTGATTTGTTACATGCATAAATATGTATATTTGATTCCTTTTACATGCACATATATATACTAAAATAATTAATTTTTACTTGCGTAAATATGTATAAGTGCTAGGATAATTGATTTCATATCAATAATAAATAAATATGCAAATTTTTGGTAATATTGTGTAAAAATAGTTTAGAACATTTTAATATGTCAAAAGGTGACTGGCTATTTATCCTTTAGCGTTTAGGGTAACACTGGTTGGAGTGGATTGAGATGAAACTTAATTTAATTTTCATCCCAATCCACTCTATCACGTGAATTGAGATGAATACAGTGGATCCAAACAAAGCCTTAATAAAAATTCTATGAAACAAAGTCATTCCATAGGTATTTCAAAAGAATGTAGGACCCAATCCTTTATTTCAAAAGGGACTTATATGATTTTTTCCTATAAAATTTCAATCATTTATACTTCCTCTAGTGTCCCTATGGGAGTGTTCGGCTGGTGGTAAAGCCATTGGTGCTGATTTGTATGGCTGATTTTTTGAGAGAGAAAAATATTGTACCGTGGCTTATAAGCCAGCAAATAAGCTGACTGAAACAGCCAGCCGAACACTCCCTGAGAGTAAAAATCCAATTTATATGTCCAAATTCTGCAAACAAAGTTAAGAGTTAAGAGAACGAGAAGAAGGAAGAAACAGACAGAGAAAGAAGGAAGTCTATTTTTAAAAAAGCTAACAAGAAGCGCATTTTTAAGTGTGTCAATCGCCAGAAGTGGCGACAATACTTTTTTCTTTTTCTTTTGGGTGACCTTATAATGTTAGAATTGAGTTTCGAGTGGGATTTATTTGTTATTTCACAAGTTTGTAATGATTGGTCTACTTTTTTATCACAAGAGTTAAAGCTGCATTTGTTTCTAGTGTCTAAAAAAGGGTTTTCTACTCGAACAATACACTTTATATGTTTAACCCCTTGAGCAAAATGTTGTCTAAGATTTATTTTCTCAAACTTCCGTTTGGTCCAATCTCAATGCTAATGAGAGTTCTTTTCTCCGTGAAGAGTAATTTTAAGTTTGGATTTTGTAAGCATATAATCCTAAATTAACCCTAAACATATAAGATTGTATGAAAATAATGATGAAAATTTCTTAATGAATTTTCTAAATTTGGATATCAAGTTGCCACAAAATATGAACTTAAACAAAACAAAAATGACAAACTAGGGGATATAATGGACCAAGT